TGTATTCTCCTTTTAAAAATAATAAAATGACACAGAATTTAAGTTACTTGTTTTAAGGTCACGTGAGGGTAGATCTGGAATTGGAGCCCAAGTCTGTCTGACTCCAAAGCCCAGTTCTTCCTCACTCACCATACTGCTCCTTAAATTATCAGCTGAGCCAGAATGTCAAAATCACTCACAATAAAACACACACACACACACACACACACACACACACGCTGACACATGCACACATACACACACTCCACCCCTTGAAATCCTTTCACTTGAATTGCAAAACACAAAGATAAATACATTTCACATACTCAAAAAATGGTCTCAGAAGGAGGTACGGATAACAGAATTTTTCTTTCTACTGCAAGCCTATTATTGTTTGTAATCATGTTTTCACAATAAACTTAATGTGTCAATTTCTAATAATAGGCTCTCCATAGAGGCTGCCAGAAGTCATGTGTTGGAAGGAAGCATAGTTGGATTGAAAGGAGCCAGTAATGACAGAGGAGAAAGCATTAACCTGCTGAAACACTGTATCCTATATACTAAACAGGCGAATTTCAGAGTTTTAAGGTTTTGAGAAAAGGTTTCCAATATTATCCTTATACAAAGCCTTTTTCTTCCTCAAAAGTACGTTACAATGAATGTACCCGGAAAACATTATGCTAAGTGAAAGCAGTCACAAAATACCATATTTGTATGATTTCATTTATATGAGATATTGAGACTCTATAGAGATAAAAAGTAGATTGGCGGTTGCTTAGAGCTTCAGGGATTGGTGATACAGGGAGGTGACACATAAAGGGTATGCAGTTTTTTTTTGAAGTGATGAAAATATTCTAAAATTAGACCGTGGTGATGATTGCACAACTCTGAATATACTAAAGAACCACTGTTCAATTTAAATGAGTGAATTGTATAATATGGAATTATATCTTGATGACACTATTACCAAGAGCATGTTAAATTTGTAAAATAATTAAAATGGCCATTATACATGGAAGTTCCTAATTTTGGATTTCCATAAACACATACAATTATTTTAGAGGTGGTGAGAACTCTGTAATTTAGATTTAGAGGGCCAATTGGAGAAAAGTGGAGTGCTATGGCTGATAAGCATTGCTGCCTTGATGTGGGGAGTGAGGTGGGTGCTTGGAAGACTTTCGTTCTAGGGTCTGTTACAGGATGTGAAGATGCATGAAGGGATCAGTAACAGAAATTCACTGTCGTGAAGAGGGGTATGGGGGTTCAGGGCAAATTGCAGGGTCTCAACAGGTATTCTGGGGTGAGGAGCTGGGCCTTCAACAGAAGCCCAGCCATATAAATTGGGGCATGGAGGGTGTACTGGGGCAAGAGGGGCCCCTGGGGCATCTGGGGCCCTGCATTTGAATAGGAAGAGTAGCAGTATGTGTGACTGGATGCTGAGAGCCATGTGGAATTTGAGTGGAGTTACACGGCTATACAAAGTAGTAAGGCTTTCTCAAAGGAGTTGAGTCCACCTGGACTCCTTAGTCAGGGGCCACCCATGTTCATCCACTTGATTCCTAGGGATGTAAGCTCATGGCCTTACCAGGATGTGTCCTAAATCCCAGCTGTGTAAGGGAAAGGAGAACAAGAGATAAGGAAGTAATTGTCCCTGTCAAGTTCCTTGTAATAACTCTTTACTCCTTCCCTGTATCTGTTCAATTCAACATTACTTATGCCAAAGACCATGACAGAGGCTGCAGATACAAAGACCAAGAAACAGTCTCTGACCTCAGAAATTTATAGCCTAAAAGGGAGGGCAATTTATAAACAGATCATTTTCAACGTAATGACCTCACTCTGTTAGATCTGTCCATCACCATTCCTTCAGGTTGGGTCACAAAGCGTGCTTCTAGGGAACCCAAATCGCTACAGTCAGTCTGAATGTATACATCCTCCTGAAATTCATATATTGAAACTTAATCTCCAATATGATAGTATTAAGAAGTGTGACCTTTGGGAGGTGAGAAGTGTCATTACAAAAGAGCCAGAGGGAGTCTGTTAGCCCCTCACCCCTCTGCTGTGTGAGTACACAGTCAGAAGCCACCACCTACGAAGAAGAGAGCCCTCACTAGACACTAAATCTGTTGGCAGCCTGATATTGGACTTATCAGCCTCTAGAACTTTAAGCAACAAATTTCTATTGTTTATAAATTACCCAGACTAAGGTGTTTTGTAATAGCGTCTGAAACAGACTGACACCAACTTAAGATACACATCTACAACAACTTTAAATAGCACACACTGAAATTGTATTTAGCATACTTAATATTGCACAAAACAAAACACTTGAACTCATGGACACAGAGAGTAGAAGTACGGTTACCAGAGGCTGGGAAGGGTAGTAGGGGCTGGGGAGGTGAGGATGGTTAATGGATGCAAGAAAAAAAATAGAAAGAATAAGACCTACTATTTGATAGCACAACAGGGTGACTATAATAATAAGTGTACATTTTAAAATAAAGAGTATAATTGGATCGTTGGCAACTCAATGGATAAATGCTTGAGAGATGGATATCCCACTCTTAATGATGTGTTTATTTCACATTGCATGCCTGTATCAAAACATCTCATGTACTCCATAAATATATACACCTACCATGTACCCACAAAAATTAAAAATTGCATAGAAATCAAAATAATATTTTTCATACATATTACTCAAAGGACAATTATTTTTTAAGATAGACTGACAGTTACATTTTCTAAAGAAGGCCTTATAAACACACCTAATATATAAACATCTTTAGGTAACACAGTTCATCAAATCCTCAATGGCAAAATATGTTAAGGTAGCATGTTGGGCCTGCAATAAACACATACTTGTTATGTAAAACTGGATTTTTGATGTTAAGAGTTTAAAGTCTCTTATGGCATCTTTATTCTCAAGTAAGTGTGACACTTTGGATTCAGTCTGGAAGAGTGGTGATGAACAGATCAAATGCAATAGAATCCAATTTCTGGATTAAATATATGCTTTTTAAAAAATCTACTTAAACAGCTTTAAGTTGATAAAGAGGTAAGTATACTTCATTACCCTATTTGGCTTAAATAAACTGTGTGTTGCACTATTTTATTTTTATCATATATAAGGTCACATAATACAGTGGGGAGGGAGACCTTGATTCTAATACAGACTTGGTAACTTAATATCCAAGTCACCCAGACAAACTGTACTCTCGCTGGGACTGGTTTGTCACATTTGTTTAAAAAGAAAAACAAGATTTCAGAGGAAAGGGACAAAGTTAGACTAAATGATCTCAAAAATCCCTTCTAGCAAAATTCTATTGAGTTAGGTAAAGGCCATTTAAATTCAAAATGTAGATCTGTGCAAAGTGAACCAAACTGGTATTTTACTTGTGAATCAATAATTTTAATGCTAAAACCCCCAAATCCCCGCAAAACCAGCACCTGCCTCCCCAACCCAGCTTTAGCTCTAACATTAGGAATTCAAATTGGAGTATTTTTAGCCTCTGGAGTTTAAGGAAGCCCAATTGGAGCCCCTGCCTGCACTTTATAATTTGGCTAATTTAAGTTATAATACAGTTTCATCTTTGACAGCAAAATCATTTTACTAATACTTTTATGCATTTAAAGAATTACTTCTAATTGGAGACCTTGTAAGTACTAATGGCATGCCAGGTAGGAAATGACAGAATTTTATCCTTCCTTGAACTGTTTTTCCTGATGAAATACGACTCCAGCTGTCAGAAGTACGAGTTATTACAGATGCCCTCAAAAGGCTCACCTTTTTTAAAAAAGACTGCCAGAAGGGTTGCACTAGAAAATAGAAAAATCAATCCTAGATGAATGCAAAAGACAGAAGTCTCCAAATTGGCAAAACTAAAAAAGAAAGAAAAAGAACAGTTATATCATTTCGTTATTTAAGAACAGGATGGAGATGGAGAGATGCTTTCCTAATGTCTTAAGATCAGGGTGGTTTTAGTCATTTCCGTGCTGGGTGTTTCTTATAAAAATAACTCTATGAGTAAGGGCCCTACGAAATTCCAGCTTTACTAAGCTTTGCAACCAACCGTACTGCCCATTATACCGGCAAAACACCGAGGATGTAGCAGCCAGTAATTAGATCAGAGCGTGGAAAATCAGGGAGAGAAATTGGAAGGAATCACTTTTTTTAAAAAAGGAAGTGGTCACTAAGTGGCAGAAAATCCAAGTCAACCACAAGTTTCTTGTTCATGTTGCAAACAGATGGGATGGGGCAGGGTCCAAGAATAGGAAGGGAGAATTCAGTTGGGGTCGGGGAGGGGGCGTCAGAACTAACGTGAAATAAGCCAGCCTGGGAGACGCGAGCTCTTCAGGAAGGGCTCAGAGTAGGCCCGGCATCTTACAAGGGTGAGTCCAGGTGAGGGACATGTTACCTAGCGCCGCTGGCAAGGAGCCTGGGATTCGCCCAGGCGTGGTTCCCGCCAGCGCCTCCTCAGAGCGCAGCGGCCTACTGGGTGTCAGCGCGCAAAGTCGCATCTTAATCCTCTCTCCCGCTGGATTAATTAGGGCCTCTTCAAAGCAGAAAGTTGAGCCAGGGCTTCTTTCCCAGAAACGGGGGCACCGGGAGGTCGACACTCCTCCTGCCTAGCCGGGAGCCCCTCCGCGAACATTACCGGGCCAGGGGCTGCAGTGAACTCCGGCTCCCGCAACCCCAGCCGGGTTCCTGGGACCCTCTGGTTACACTGGTGGCCAGTAGGGTCACTGGAGTCAAGCCCTTGGCCCGGGCCGCTTCTCCTGCGCCGGTGCCCTCGGTTCGCGGCCAGCATACCGGGCGCCGGGCGGGGCGCGCCCGGGAGGCCGAGGCGGCGCGCTATTCCTGTCTCTGTGAGCTACCGGCATGTTATGTGCGGCGCCCAATCACGCCTCTGACCCTCCGCTCTGACCTGCGCCCTCCCCTCCCTAATCCCCCAGGCTTTGATTTGATCCTCCGCGCGGAACAAGCTCACCCCGCCCCCCACTGCCCCGTAACCAGTTGTCCCCGGCCTTCGCGGGTGCCCGCAGAACCGGTCTTCCTCGTCCACCCCCCAGAGGTCAGAGTCCTCGCCCTGCACTCCCAGGACGCTGTATTTGCGCCGTCGGCGATCCCGCATCCCCGGAGTCCACAGGCAGCTCGGTTCTTCCGAGTGATGGTGTGCGGCCACCGCCGCCCCTGGCCTGCAGGTGTTGGTTCTCCACACTGGGCCGGGGAGGGGACTTTGGGCAATGCGCTGGAAGCCTCGCAGTCGTGGAAACCAAGCCTCACACTCCCCGGAAGCCTCCAAATTCCGCGCCCTCCGTTATCAAGGGCCTTCAGAAACCGTTTCCAGACTGGATCTACTCTGAGAGGGGCACCGGCGATCTGCAGGTCTGGATGAAGGAGCCTGGGCTTTAAACTGAGCAGGCAGAAATGGGCCCCTGCTAGGGGCTTTGTGGCTCACGCGGGGGTCCCGGGAGTGTCTTGCCCCGGGATGCCTCCGGCCCCTCCCAGCAGACCTCAGGTCCCGCCAGGTCGCTTCCCGCCCTGGGCAGAATGAGTTATTTCCTGTCTTACTGCAAAGCTCATGGCGGCACGCTGCTCACCGGCTACCAGGCCCTGCGCGCCGAGGGCTTCCTGTGCGACGTGACACTGGAGACTGAGGGCAGCGAATTCCCGGCGCACAGGTCGCTCCTGGCGTGCTCCAGTGACTACTTCAGGGCCCTGTTCAAGAGCCACACCCAGGAATCCCGGGCGCGAGTGATCCACCTGCACGTGCCATCAGCAGGCGGCCTGCAGCGCCTGCTGGACTTCATCTACACTGCCTGGCTGTCGCTCTCCATGGACACTGTAGAGGAAACTCTGGAGGCCGCCAGCTACCTGCAGGTCACTGAGGCCCTGGGGCTCTGTGGGCGCTACCTGGAGCGCCAGCTGGCTCCAGAGAACTGCTGCTTCGCCGCCAACGTGGCGGCGCGCTTTGGCCTGGCTCACACGCTGGACGCGGCTGAGCGCTGCATCGTGCGCCACTTGCGGGAGCTGCTGGAGCGGGGGGCGGGCCCCGCGGGACTGCTGGAGCTCAACCCTACATCCCTGAGGACTGTACTGGGTGCCCCCGACGTGGCACGGGTGCCAGAGGCCCGGCTGCTGGGCCTGGCGTTGGCTTGGCTGCAGCAGGAGCCCGCAGCTGAGCGCCTGGCGCACTGCACAGAGTTGCTGGAGCGTGTACGCTTTTGCCTAGTTCCGGCTGAGGTACTGCGGCGCGTGTACTCGGGTTCCGGCCTCGTGCTGCCCGCCCGGGTCAAGGGCCTCATCATCCAGGCCCTCAACTACCACACGGCACCCTCCCGCCAACCGCTCATGCAGAGCGAGCAGACCAGCATCCGGAGCCCCCAGACCCGCATCTTGTTGGTGGGGGGACGTAGAGCACGGGAGGTGGTGATTGAGGAGGTCGTGGTCCCTCAGGGGGCAGCTAGGGGCCGAGTCGCTGCCCCAGAGCCTGAAGAGGAAGAAGAGGAAGAGTTGGAGGAGGAGGAGGAGGAGGAGGAGTGGGAGCTCACCCAGAACGTGGTGGCCTTCGATGTGTACAATCACCGCTGGCGCAGCCTTACGCAGCTACCCACACCGCTGCTGGGTCACAGTGTGTGCACCGCGGGCAACTTCCTGTTTGTCCTGGGTGGGGAGAGCCCTTCCGGCAGTGCATCCTCTACCCCGACCGACGGCCCGCGAGTGGTCACGGCCCAAGTGCACCGTTACGACCCTCGCTTCCACGCTTGGACGGAAGTGCCCGCCATGAGGGAAGCGCGGGCCCATTTCTGGTGTGGCGCGGTGGGCGAGAGGATCTTGGCTGTCGGGGGTCTGGGCACGGGCGGTGAAGCACTGGCCTCGGTGGAGATGTACGACCTCCGTCGGGACCGCTGGATGGCGGCTGGGGCACTGCCACGGGCTCTGCACGGTCACGCAGGGGCCATCGGGGACCGCGGTGTTGTGTACATCTCCGGGGGCAAGGCAGGGAGAGGCGAGGGCGGCGGGAGCAGCCTCCGGGACTTATACGTCCTGGGCCCTGATGAGCAGGCTTGGAGCAAGAGGGCGCCCATGGGCACCGCACGTTTCGGGCACCACATGGCAGTGCTGCGCGGCGCAGTGTTTGCTTTTCTGGGGCGATACGAGCCCTTCTCTGAGATCGAGCGCTACGACCCCGGCGCCGACCAGTGGACTCGGTTGCGGCCGCTACCCTACGACCGCTTCTGCTATGGGCTGGCGGTGGTGGAGGAGACAGCGTTGCTGCTGGGCGGCCTCAAGTGGCGGGACTCGCGCCAGGTGCCTACCCGTAACGTAGTGGGCTACGACCTTGACCTGGACCGTTGGGAGGACATTGGCTGTGCGCTGCCCTGGGCCTGGAGCGGCTTGCAGTGCGCAGTGCTGCAGCTGGCTGAGGGTGGGGACGAGGAGAGGGAGGGAGAGCCTGGAGAGGCGCTAGATTTACTGCTGGGCTGAATGGGTCAGTCCAGTTTCCTTCCGCAATGGAAAAGAAAGTCGCGCTTGGCTAGTCTTACAGAGCAACGGATGGGCTTTTTCTAAAAAAGGGACTCTGGGAGCAGAGTGGCTTCTGAAGGTTAACGAGACAGACAAGGCCTTGGGCAAAGAGAAACATTTCTCCTTGAGCTGAGAATGGGAGACAGGAGGGGTCAAATAGAAGGCTATATGAATCAGCTTCAGTGAGCTGGTGAAAGAAAATTTTTAGAAAGGCTCACGCAAGGCTAGAGAACTTTCACAAATAAAATATGACCTTATTTTACCTCTTAAAGTGTTTCCCTAGATGCAAAACAGTGATTATTTCTGTGCCAAAAAAAAGGCCAAAAAATGTACCACAGGAAGTTTATACAAAACTCAGAAAATTGTTGGCTATAAAGACTGTAATTAAGTCCTAGGAGATGGCATTATCTGAATAAATAGTGAAAGGAGAGTGCCTTGGTTAAATACCATGAAATCATTGTAAGGGGAACTATGATTTTATGATCCGGAGCCATGGTTAAAGTTCTGCTTTGATGGTTTGATATAAATATGGAACTGAGAGGAAAAAACTCTGAAGCATGTTTTTTTCTAGAAAGTATCCTTAAATTTTTCTGTCTCCAGTGCCTACCCTAGGCTGCCTTTGCCCTGATTTTAGACAGCTCGCTGGTTTTAAGTCACATCTCATCAACCCTTAGTCATAATAATTAGGCTCCTCTGGTAAAGTCGAATGTCTAATGAAAACAAAACAAAAACTGATTTATACTCTTTTAAATGTTCATTCTGCAGACATACTGTAGATTACATTTGTAAAAAATAATTAATTTTTGGTGGTTACCCCCACTTCCTCTAAAAGAATCACAGAGAAAGGAAAGAGGAATAGGTAGTTTTCAAGTTCGTGTCAGGTAAATGGGAAACCAGCTTGATTTTTCAGGGTCTTATATAAGATACTTGTATATACTGAAGAGATGCCGCTTTTGGCTTGTATCACCAATGAGGCAGCAAAGTTAGAACCCAGAATTGGGGTGGAGGGTGGTGCCTGTGTAATTAGGTCACAAAGAAATGTGGTAAGGACTTTGCATGAATAAAGTAGGTGCTTTATAATGATTCATTAAGAGCTGAATTTATTTGACTTCAGTTTACAGTGCTGCCTCTCTCCTAGATTTGAAACGAATGCAATAAAATGTACAGATATTATATAGTGTTAAAAGGTCTCTTTCATGCTAGGCTAGCCATGAGTCTTGTCAAATTCATTAGTTTAATTTTTACCATGTAAACAACAGAGCTGACTTTACAAAAGTAAAAGCTGCTTAGTAGCAACAGAGCTAGTCTTCCCATCAACAGCTTGCTGTTTACAGGCCACAACCTGGCCACTGTATTCATGACACATCCATCAGGTACATAAATTTTTAAGTGAACATACACATTTGGTCTAGTAAACATCAATAAGTCTAAACACCTGTAACAAGCACATTTCATTTTAGGACAAGAGGTTTTTTGTTTTGTTTTGTTTTTTTACATATACAAAATCCCACAAATTTAATGTGCATCAATATCCATGCAGTAAATAAATGTTTTTACAAATAGAGTTCTTTTTAAATGATAAAAATATTACACTGGACCCAAAATTCCATACAAACATTAATACATGATTTCTCATCCATTTTGACTAAATATAGGATACTGAAAATGTGCTGTAGAAAGGCCACTCTCCTGTACAGTTGTGCAAAGTCTGCAAAACTATAGTGATTCAATGGTGGTTTCAAAAGCAAAGAAAAAGATCCCCGCTGTGGAGTTTTTACTTTCTCCTCTACAGCAAAAATATTCACTGGCATATATCTGAACTCTTAAGGATGAAAGTACATTCACTGAGCTGTACAGGCAACAGTATAAAGCTGATTAGAAGTAGATTTTAGGATATAGAATAGTAAAGGAGGTTCCCTTTCTCCTCCTGAAGAAACAGCAAATTGTGACTTGTACGTTATGCAGCCAGACACTAAAAAGCAGCACAGTCATTTTCATGCTGTGATCACTTTCAAAAACAAGACGCTTATAAATGGAAATATATAAAGAGGACTTTTTCTTAGACTTCATCCACTCTATAGAACATGAAGCTAGGAAAAAACCTGTAAATTGTTTCTCTCATAATTCAATGTGACATCTCTCTGAATGACCATCACCCTCTTGCTCCTTAGTAGGGAAGTACATTTTTATTTTTCAATGTTGTTTTTTATAACACATATCAGCCTGTAACTAAACATATTGTACTTCCCTGCCTGAAGTATAATTACATAAGTTTAATTAGTTTCCAATTTTCCCCTAGTCCACTAAGTGGAAAGTTGATTCATTTCAGTTTATATCTTGTTGTCTTTTAAGAGTTGGAGTTTAAAAAGATGAGTTTGGGCTGAAATTAATTATATATATATATAGCTGTTAGCTGCCTTTCTGGGTGAGTTAAGTCAGTTTTTAAAAATCCCCTCTCAAATTCTTCTGTACACAATCAGCATCTCATCACTACAAAAATAAAGGAAGATTTAAACCAAGAAAATAAAGCAGCTCTATCTTCAATTTTGGTCTTAGTTACAAAAACATCTTACAAAGCTTTGCCCTGATACACCAAGTGTTCTCATAGATTTGGAATAATATTTCCATTAACTAGTTTTCACAAGTTAATAGACTATTAAGACGAATGTTAGATACCTGAACTTTTCTTATGTCGATGCTCTTCTATTTTGCTTAGCTCTTGTATGTGCATCTACATTTCACAAAAATAAAACTACAGCATTAAATGTTGTGCAATGTTTAAGAAAATTCTTAGAACATTTTAATAAATATAAAAAAGGTTTAAATTCTTTCCCACCCACAAGGATGTCTGTACCTCAAAAAATGTGATTTACTTTTGAAGTCTTGTTTATATAAAATTAACTTAAAGGGAGAAAAGATGACCATAGATAGAAAACTGACTTTTGTGGTTTTACTACTTGAAGACCACCTGTATTTAGAATTGTTTGCAAAAGTTAATTTTAAGTCATTAAAGACAGTTGATTTTGCACATGGTAAACATAAGCTGAGCACTGATTGCATATAAAACATACAAATGCTCATTAAAGATAGTGGTATTGTGACCATATATGGTTTGTTTCATATAGTTTGATAACATTAAAGTATAGCTTGTCAAGTGTTCCACACATTGATATAAAAACTACTTTATATACTTGTTCAGAGTACCAGCAGGTACTAGACAGCCTGAAGGCAGAATACACTTAGACATGCGTTTCAATGTATGAATGAGTGTGTGTTAGAGAGGAAGTGATCACATCTACTTCAGAAGAAATACTCAGTGGGTCATTTGAGGTGGTATTTTGACAGATATCCAAGAAAAGGTCGAGGTACATCTGCTTCCATTGTTGGAATTCTTTAGATGTCAAGTCTGGATTGTCTAGGACTTTGTCGATAATGGCTACTTCCCCTTCTCTGGCCTGAAAAGAAAAAGGATTCAACAGTTAAGACTGGGACACAGTTTTATTCAAGTTTAAAATAAAAAGTTAATAGGCAAAATATTTAAGAAGCCCATAAGAAATAGTTTTGGATACTCACACCCAGCTCTTTAGACTCACTTCCTAGTGTACTTTTCTCTATACCTGAGAAATGCCTCCTTTTGGTCACTGTATGGTTTGCTTTTTCTCTTTGCCTGTCCTTTTGCCCTCTCTCCTATGGAAAACTTTTTCATTCTTTAAGATCCAGTTCAAAAGCCTCTCATTTCTTCAAGCTGTCCTTAAACATCTGGAAAGTTTTCTCCCTCATATATGCCCTTTACTACTCCATCACTGCCACTGAGTACATTTGTCATATTGTATCTCTTGAGTTACTTTGGCATGTGTTCTATCTCTCCTGCTGTGTGGAGAGCTTCTTATTCATGCTTCTCCTACTTGAATAAGAATGAGCATGGCCCCCTGTTAACAGAAATACATAATTCTTGCTGTGTGAATGTTATGGCTCTCTTTCTATAGCACTGGGGGCCTGTAATGGAGAATGGGTGCTCTCTCTTCCATGTTGGAAGCTGGGTCTCAGCTGAAGACTAAGCTTCATTTTGGTATAACTCACTAAGTTAAAACTATCACCTGGGGAAGATGAGAATCTCCCAGGTGGAAGGTGGGATGGCGGAGTAGGGGTTAAAACAGTCTGAGCAGCTCAGTCCTACGTTTTAGGGACCGAAGCAAAGCTTAGGGAAGTGTAAAAGATGTTTTGCAGGAAGTAAGGCACACACCTCTGGGCCAGCCAGAGTTGGGAGGCAAAGACAGCAGGATGCTTGTTGGTCTGGCCTCACAGACCAGAATATGGAAGAGGGCTGGGACTGAGGATGTTGTGAATTGCCTGTGGTGAGATTTCAGATGTGCGCTTGGTGAGGGTGCCTGTTAAAATTTCAGGAACTAGACACATCCAGGGTTGCTTGGTCAGCTGTTCTTCCCTAATGAAGGAATTCCTTCCCTATTAATTTTCCATGCCAAAAAGCATAGGGTTCTGCAGTTCATTTGTACCAATGAGGGACATTGTTTTACAGTGACTTTTCATTATCATTCTTGGCCCCAGAGAACTGAGCACAGTGTTCATGTAGCTGGTGATTCATCAATACTTACTGAAATGAACATCGGCAGTAGCCATATATTTTGTGACTGGAAGAAAATACCTTGGGGGACTCTACAGAGCATAAAAGACAGGGGAAGGGGGGCTGTCAGACAGAAGGAGAAAAAGAGGTCTTTAAGATCCATGAATCTAACCTGCTTCAAAATGCCTGCCTGCCTTCTAAACTAGGCAGTTTAGAACCGAATGGGGGAAGTGGAGAGGCTCTATAAAAGGTGGGAGGGTGATGATATCTTTGGAGTAGGATTAGTCACTGGAACAATTCTTATGACTATTATAGCACTCTCCAAAATCCTGCTCTTCCTAAAAGTCCGTTAAATTGTCCCTTGGATTTGCAGTAGTATTTGCATGACTACCAATTAAAAGCCAATGGACTCTGAAAACTTCGCTGCTTGCTATCTGAATTTTTTTTCAGATCATTTTCTAGTTTGTCTATCTCTTTGGTACTCACCTATATTTCAAAATTACAAAACCTCAGCAGCATGCTATGGATCTGAAATATTTCCCAAAGGAGCCCTTTGACCTTTTGTTTCCTGAAATTACTACAGCACATATGATGTATGATAGTTATTTTCTGTTTTTGTATTTTAAAGGCACAGGGCCTGCTCGGATGGCTTGTGCGATTGGGCCTTCTCTTCAACCTCCCTCACACACAGTGAGCAGGGCTCACTTGTCTGCCTCCCTCTCCAACTTCCTGCCTCTCTGCTCTCCTGTCCTCACCACCTCCTCCCCAACTTGGGGGTAGATGATAAGGAGACTAGAGACAATGTAAGCACTTACAGAAATGTATAATAGGAAGGTAACATGTAAGTTGGGAACTGATAATGTAAACAGAAGAATGATAAAATTTCCACATAGAGCACAAATCACCCCAAATGCACTGTAGTTCATGGAGGAAACAACCACGGAATACCTCAAACTCTTTTAGTACCCACTGTTGCATTCTGCATGCATGCTGTGTTCTTTCAGTAATGCTAATAATTACACTACATGGTATTTTTATGTTAGAAAATCTATAGACTGAGGAATAACACCAGCCCTTCATTTTTGGAAAACAATTTTAATCACATCCTGTTTTCTCCTAGAACTGAGTAACATAACATTTAGTCAGTGCTTTGAGACCTTAATGAAAAGTTAAGATGATCTCCTCTTTACCAATATACTTATTATGACATAGAAACAGCTCAGACTCAGGTTCCTACTGTTTAACTCTTCCTCTCCCCAGACCACAGTTTGTATTTCTTAACTTACAGTATCTGATAATCCATTTTAAGAATGAATCTCTTCAAAGAAATTTGTCCATTTCTTGTCTTACCTTTAAAGTGCTTTTGAGAATTCTCAGCCTGTGTAGTTTTTCATTCATTACAGGATCATTACATCTTTTTATAAATGATAGCTTGTATTCCATCTTGGTTGAAATACGATGTTCTCCTAGTGGTGACAGACTGGCTTGCTCCAGTGCCCTGTATAAATCTTGCAATGAGTCTCCTAACTTTTCTTCTCTACTTTCACCTGCAATGTCCAAAAAAAAAAAAGAGACAGAGAAATGAATTCATTGTAATAAAGTTATTTGACACCCCCAAAATTTATTTAAAAATCAAAACTATCGAAAAACAGTATAATGAATGTGAAAACACTATTATATTAAAAAACAACAACAAAAACACACAGCTGCTAGTTACATTGTGTAACATTAGCTACAGGCAGCTAATTGTTTTAGAATGATCAAATAGGATTCTTTGATTAACCAAATATTCTCTTGATAGCAAATCACCATACATATCTTGAGTCCAGCAAGTTCAAAGAATTAGAATACAAAAGGCACACAACATGGAAACAATCCTGCACATTATATTTTAAAACATTAATGAATATCCCTTATCATTATGCTAAGCATTGAAATCCTGATTAATAGAGCTCACCTGGTTTAGCAATACTGAATGAACTGATTTTTACATTTTTCCAGACCTCATAAGAATGGCATTCAATAGAGTATATTTGATTATAAAAATCTTCCAGTTGTGCCACAGAGGATTATTAGGTTTCATGTGACTACCATAGTAATGCCTTGTACATTGTAAATATAGTAATTGATCATAAATTACCTATATTTTAAGATGAAATTTAAAATGAAATATGGGAATATGTTTACATGCAAATATAGAGGGAAAATCTGGCATGTGTTAAGAGAAGCTACTTAGTATTTGTAAGACCTGAGGAGAAAATCCTCCAGTTAAATATTTTTGAGAAAAAAATGAGAGCTGGCTCAATAAGGATCTTAGACATAGCTGAACAAATAAAACTCCCATCTTGTTTTTTAATTGCCTGAACACTAATGTCATGTCCTTCTCAAGGAGACATATTTAAGTAATTATATTGGCCCAAAGAGTGAATCTGAAATGTTGTTCATTTCCACCACAGTCCATGCGAATATTTTAGGCTTTCTGACATAGTTTCAAAAAAAGATTCCCTAATTGGTACTGATACCATTTAACATTTAGATGTGCCAGACAGCAGGGTAAATGCTTAATCTTTATCATCTCATTTAATCCTCACAACAATACTAAGAGCAGATCTATTTGATCTTCATCTACAGCAGGGCAGTATCTTGTTCAAAGTCATACTCAGAAAGTGGTGGAGCTAGACTTACATGTGGGCAGTCTGACCCCAGAACCCACGATTTTAACAAGAATTCTATACTGCCAATTCTTTTCAGTTATCATTTGAAATGTGTATTTAGCGGTAGATGCCAAAGAATGTGAGACTTCCTTAAAATGCAGCATGCAAAAAAATTTTAAAAATGACTGTATCTAAAACTGTCAACAAAGCCCAAAATGTACCTTAACCTAAAAAGATCATTTTTAGGATTAAAAATTAGCTTTATTTACATTACACATTCAACTTTTGGCTCTGCTACTGAAGTTACAAACTAATGATAGGTATAGTCATCGAGTCCTTCTATTAGAAAGTTTCTTTTTTTCATGAGCACATGCTATCACTAAGTCCTCTGTGATGAATTTTAAATTCTTAACCATATATCTAAGTTAGAACTGTGATCTAAAAATACAAAAATCTTTTTAAATAACAACTTTTAAATTCTCTGTTGGCCCATCACTGAATATATTCAATACCTAGAGGATTTTGTGGGATGGGGGATGGAAGACTGTAAAAAGGAGAAACTTCTTTGTGGGTTATGAACAAAATGGAAGCAAGATAGGGAATCTTAACTGAGAATGATTTGGAACAAGGAAGGCACAAAATCATACAACCATTTAGAATAACTAAATGGAGTTGTAAAAACAAGGACACATTTAAACAGTATAAGTCTATTTCATAAAATCATAGACCAGTAAAGAACCCCGAGGAATTATATAATAGTTATCACATTCTTTTTTTCCTCAAGGCAATACTGCATCTAAAGCCAGATGTAATTTCATAGAGCAGAGGGTGGGGTAGAAAATGGGAGGCCTAACAGATGTGAATTATAGTAGTTAAGGTATCAGGTGGCCTAATGTATTATTAGTTTTTTTGGTTCTCAAAAGAAGGTGAAGGAAAAAGGGATTCGGATTTTAGTTTTAGGATTTAAGGGAGGCAGAAGTATTTTTATATAGTGAATTTTTATTTTAAAAGAGCCTTCCTCCATATTACCTAACATTGTAGAAGGGTGTATATATTTTGTTTAAAAAAACATTTTGACCCAGTTTTCTGTCAGTTCTTAAAGTTTGTGAAATACTGGGGCAGAAGACTGATTTTACAGAATTTCAATGTAGTTCTACTTTAAGAAGAATGAGTGAAAATTCAATATATAAAGCGACATACATAGGTATTAAACAATAAAAACTGAAAGTTTTCCCCCCTTCTTGCTCTTATGGGGGAGAAAAGCATTCAATCAAAAGACAACATAATTCTACAAAGAATCTGGTTTGACAGCTGTAAAAAGAATTGAGTATGGATTTATCTCTGGGCAGCACATTTGAACAAGCAATCACAATGAGACAGAACACTGTAACATTTCCAAGTATAGTAATGGGATAGTGTGGCTCCTATCAGAGATAAGTAAGCCACTCCCTCCCCCCATCCCCTACACGTCATTCACATACACTACACAAGACAGAGTAGTGGGATGAATAAGGACAAGGGACTGAGATGCCAGGCTACCACGAAATGCCACCAATTACTTAACATTTTAAGACTAGACAAAGAGTCTTTTTATTTTCAAAGCAGGAGGGGTTGGTAGGGGCAGAGTCACACTATAAATCTGATTCAGTGTGCTCAACAGTCAAAACAACACAGAACTCAACATTCAAGACAAAAACAGACCTTTATTTTCTTTTATAATTTTCAATTGGTTTCCTTGATTTTTCTCAGATGAATAAAATTAAGTCAATTGGGACTACTGTTGCAACTGAAAATATGAAAGCACCTTTATTTTCTTCTTTTTTTGCCCTCTTCTTCATCTGCTTCTCACTTCTCTTCAGGCTTCTCTCTTTTTTCAACCCTTGCTTTTTCTTCTTTTAGAAGAGGCTTGCTTTGGAAGAGGAGGCAAGCACTTGGTGATGTCTGCTTCCTTATTGACTTTCTTTCAATGTGCCAGTACAGCCATTGGAACACTGGCTGAAAACCAGCTCTTTTGCAATTTGAATGAATGTTTTCTGAAAGTTGGCAAAGTGTAGAGACCACATTCAAATCTCAGGACATATATAGGAACCTTCTGTGATTCCTAATGAGGAACTGTATCACTGCTATAATGAAATTTTAATCTGTATCTAATTTATTCAGGAAATCTGGACCTATGCAGAAATAAACTTCCCCCAAATTATATTTAGGTTTACAACATGTAAATTAGTCCTGTGTCAGATTAGATACTTTTAAATTCCGATTTTATTGAAGCAAATAGTGCATATAAAATTTTCTTTCCTACATAAAATTTCATTGACTGATGGATTGAGGATCATAATTAAGTTATTGATGAATTAACTTGTATTCTGTGCCAAGGGAGTATCATTTATGGCTGTGTCATACTTGACGGGGTGAAAGACGATCCTCTTTATTGTCCTTTTTATTCTGCTCAATTATGAAATATTGTGAATCTAGGGATGTAGTGAGCATCATTGCCTTTTTTTCAGGTTGCCTATGACCTCTAGGTAGTAAGTGACAAATGAAAGCTCAAAGAAAAGAATAGCTAATGAAAAATATCAGTTTGATGGACTCTCTTGCAAATATCTTATTAGAAGATAATAATGCATTTCTCAAATGCCAAAAAGTCTTTGGTTGATGTATTTCTTACATTCAGGCTCAGTGGTTTCCAAGCTTTTTCTGATTGCACACTCTTAGCTAAAACACTTCTGTTTTATAGAACAGAAACTTATATATATGTGTTACTCTATAGTAATAGATAGATGTTATAAAACATACACAGAAAGAAATTCAAAAGGATGAGAGATGAAACCCAAGGAAAAATTCCAATGTTTTTTCTTCCTGTACCTTAAAGGACCCTTGTGTGCCCTACTTCAGAGACTTAGACTGTGACTTTTCCATGAGTGGAATTTGTCCCACTCATTTGCATTTCCCATTCTTCTACCTGGCACAGTGCCTCATGCAACCCAACACATTCAAACAGAGTGATGGTTTTCTTTAATTTATACAAGAACTACTCCAAAGAGTGTTCCCTAACAGGTGACTGTGTAATTATTAGGACAGTCTATTGCATAATATTGTTCATGAAACTTGGCAACCTAAAATTTTACTCTATTATTCTCCCCATTTCCCGAAACATCCCTGCAATGACAATGTTGAAGGAGCATAAAAAATGAAAACAAAACAAATAAGTAAACTGATTGGGCTCTTGAAGAATGAAACCAATGATGGATAATGAGTTCTGGTACATATTTTGGAAGGGATCTGTGATCTTGTAAAATTGGATAATGATGTCCTTGTGGAAACAGTTGTTCCTTCTGCAATACAGCTGTGTAATGAGCCCAGAAGGTTGGGAAAGATTAAATCACGAATGGGAGAGGAGGCTGGACATAGTCAGATTTGAGAGACATTCATTCTTGTATGGTGGCAGAGCGCTTTAAGGCATCCAGGCTAATGATATCAAGTATGTGAAACACTATTCTTGTCACAGAAGGCAATTAACATTTGCATTGAGAACACCCGAATATTTTCTATGAATATGAATTTACTAGCATGCCACAATGAATAACTTATTTATATGTAAGGTGACAAACTTTTAATGGACTTAATGTCTTTGCAGGTTTTATGACAAAGATGATTAAGTATTCAGGGGTTTATACTATAATTTGAATGTTTGTAATTAAATACTAGCTCTCTTAGTGCTTTTATATAAATCAATTATAAACCTGGGGTTGGGGAGGGTAGTTTGTTATATCAGAAAAAAGCGTAAGATTTTAAAAGCTGGCTTTTAGTCCTCCCTTTGTAATCAACTACTTGTTTCATATTTACACAAACATTACTATTGGGCAATAATTTCTCTGCTGAAAGAAAGCTATTTTAGTGAGAAAAAACCCTTTCTCTTAAAAGGCCAGTTTGAGTGACTTCACCAACATTTGCTAAGTGTATTTTTAAAGAACATGTAAAGCCCATCCTTGTAAGAATGGTAATGTGCTTCACTGAAATCAAGTACTTGTGTCTGTCAATTTCTTCCTTACAACACTAAATCTTGCTCTATAAAGATGTGACAAAAGAAATATAGCTAAAGTTTATTCTATATGTATCTAAACATATAATTTCTGCAAAATTATGTGGTTTAATGATAAAAATACATCACAGTGGTTGAATTTTCAGGGCATTACAGTAGTTTTTATGACAAGTAGTCCAGATGGCAAAATCTTGGTGTTCTTAGCATTGATTTATTGCCCCAAAGAAGGGAAGGTTCTTTGAAGGACAATCAAAAATATAAATGAGAGAGTTTAGGCTTACCTGTAGAATTTAGAAAATTTAACCACTAGGAATATGGAAGTAAAAGTGCTTGGCTCTCAGACAGGAACTCATAAAGGAGATAGTTTAAAACTAAAGCTAAGAGATGATTGTATTTGAAAATTAATGTGGAGTCACTATATTCCTTAATGAGAAAAAAAATTCTTCAGATCACAAAATTTTACTATGACTTAAACAGGGAGAATGACCCAACACAATCCCATAAATATTAAATGCCAATAAAATGTTTTTTGATATATTTCTATATACCAGAACTATTTTATATATATATAAATATATATATATATGTATGTATTTTTAAAAAACACATTAAAATGGTTAGAGCACAGAGGCAATTGTAAGGCAGATCAATGTGATTTTATTCACAGACACAAATTCCATTTGTGAGAAAGAAGCATTGATTACTTCTTTTTAGAAAGATATTTACTATCAAGCATACTTAGCAAATTATTTAGCTATCTGAAACGATCTGATACCAATTGGTCATATTTTTATTTTTAAGTAATTTATATTTTTACAGGTATTCACATTATGCAATACCACACACTGCGGTGACAGGAAGAAAAAAACATTTCAAAATACAGTGTTAAATTAACTGTTCATTGCACAGTATGAAATATCCATTAATTAGCATTAAAATTATTACAGTGTATCTTATCCAACTAAAAAAAATTTCACATCCACTACAGAAGAAAAATAAGCAATTCTGATTGAGTCATAGGGGACTACCCAATTACATAGTATTAAATAATATCTGAAGCTAGTTTGAAAGACATCCAGACAAAATACTTTTTCAAAAATGAAACCCACAGCCTATAGATTCAAAATATTTTACAGAAAAGAATAGCTCATGCCTGCCCTAAGAGGCAACACCACTTGTGTACAAGTGCCAAGAAATAAGGAGAAAGTTAGGATTTTAGCTGAGGATTCTATAATAAAGCCTGGCATGAGAAATTTTCTTCATTAATGTCACCGAAAGCAGTCTCTGTGTTGTACCTGAATACACTTTATAATAGAATAAACATATTAAGTTTCAGAGCACATTGTGTATACCTTGCCTTAATAGATTACACTTAATTTAGTACAATACAGCACGTCAAGTTTTAAAAATGCAAAATACACTTAATACATAATTTGCTTTCTCTGCTTTGCCTTAAAAGAGGCCACCAAAGAGTTCATTAAACAGCCAGGATTTTCTAGTTATTGAAGCTGATCCCTCTCTTTTCCTGGTGTCAGGAGAACACAACTGAGGTGTCACCACACAGAGCCCTTTCCCAGTTAAGACCCTTTCCCCTTCTGTTCTCCCATAGAAACCGCAGTTTTCTGTTACTGTGCTCCATCTTGATTGGCTTTGATCTTATGCTAGTCCCAATGTAGAAAGCTCGCATTCTTCTTAAGAGTGGCCTGCCCCTCTTATATCCCTTTGGGAGGCCCCCAATCCAAAACACTTGATGATCTAAGCTTTTTACAAGTCTGTTTTCTGTTATAAACAGCAAGGACGAGGCCATTTTAGTTGCTTGCAAGAGGTTGATGTTGAGTCTGCGACGTGCCGACTCTCTCCGATCTAAATTCTCTAAACATTAGCTTATCAATCTGTGAGTCCAATGGGTTGAGTGCCAACAGAAGTGGATCCGATTTGGCATGGAGAGGTTCTACCAACTCTCGCAGTGTATTAGCCTAATATGATAAAGCAGTGATACAATATGATGAAAGACCTGCGAGTGCCATTATTTCCAAAGCATATTAGTATTTGTATTAGAAATACCATCATGCAATACCCATGAAGAGAAAGTAGAAAAATATGGCTAGAATTGCATATGGTTTTAATACAATGTCTTTCTGTTGGCATGCACGTCTACCTGGCCATAAATGGGATACCTTTTGCCTTAAGCTTGGTTGTCTGGAAATGTTAATCTCCCAAATACACATAATAACACACAGTGAAGAAAAACCTTTTCCCACCACTATACTTGTATATGTACATCTATAGTTTTAATCAGAAAAGTTTATGTTAAAAATATTCTCCATACACATATAAAATGACCATTTCTTTTGAGAAAATTAAAATGTATTTCTATACAAGATCTTTCCTCAATTTCATCCAATCAAGAAGCATGAAGCAAACTTTTCTAGTTTTCTGACCAGAAGGGTATTCGAGTAAACTGATATATATACTACAATGTCCTAATCGGTGAGACGGTGGAATAGCCTAGCTAGTATTGCTCCAATGAGGAGGCCGCATGCTTAACAATATAAAATGCCAAGAAATGAAAAGCCGAAACAGAGTGAATATGATGAAAGGGTGGCTTTACACCTGAGCATAAGCCACATGCTAAGGTTAAGAAACTGGAAGAGATGGATATATCTGAATGACCTGAGAAACTAAGAACAATTTGGATAAAATAAACTGTACTCCCATTTAGGTCACTTTATTTTGGATCTTAAGGAATCCAATAAATATTGTCAGCAGAAACAAACTAGCAACATTTGAAATCTCTAGCCTAGTGCAGATTTTTATCTGTAACATCCTGTAGTATTTTTTGAGTTATATTGAGAAAAGGAACAAATTGGGAGAGAGAATAGAGAAAGCATGTTGTTCATTATGTCCTCCCTTAGAAAATGGGGAGGGACACATCTTGCCTGTAACGCTGATATACAGAAAACAAGATATAGCATAGCTCAGAAACCAGCAGAACTAATTTTTGTCTGTAATATTATACTCTTTCTGTAGAAATGGGGGTGGGAACTGAATAATCTTCATATATAGGTCAAGTAAAACAAACCTCAGTTTGTAGAATACTGTAATACTGGAATGCTAGCTTTAGTGTCTACCACTTCGTTTCACAAGGTCATGAAATTTCAAACAGCAAAATCAGAAGAAATCCAACCTTGGGCACAAGGTCATTTCTAAGTTTAAACTGTTCTTAATTTATCCACGCAATTCAAACATTTTGCAGTTATTTTGAACACATCCTTTGTTTCCACATAGAGATAAGGTTACACGAACCTTTTAATTTCTAGTACACATTCCCTAATACCCATTTAACCCATACGAAACTGAACTAGAGCCCTGGTAATCAATTCACAATTGCTGAATTCTACTGCAAGAGATTGGAAACATCTCCTCAGTTTAGCTGCTACATGATGGCGGAGGGAGGACTATTTCAAAATGGCTACAACTAGTTACCAGTTAGTGTATGTTAGCATAAGAGAACATAACTCCCTAGAGCAGGGTGGGGGTGGAGGTACTTGTTAAACACGGATTTCTGGGCCCTACACCTCATCTATTGAATCAGAATTTCTGGGTATGGACTCAGGAATCTGCATTTTGAACAAGAAATCCTGGTGATTCTTATGTCCACTGCAGTTTTAGACTTCTTGTTATAGGTCAATCGCATTGGCTAGGGCTGGTTGGACCAACACCAGTTTTTGTACTGCATATACAAGTAGTTTCTAAGTCAGAAGCCCTAAGGTTGGGGACTTCACAGAGCATTTTATTTTTAATCCCATCACCAGTCTGACATTGTATCGTACAGCTTAAACAATTTCAAGATTTTTGCTGAGGAATCTGATGGAAATATCTTGGTCTGCTGAGATTATGGCAAAATGCAAGAGGCCTTGGTAAACTTTAAATAAAATTTTTAAAGCTATACTTTTTATGTCGTGTTAAATATTGCCTATTTATTTTTGAGGCAAACAAACAACTACAAAGGCACTCCTACACTCAATTCCACTATATGTCTTGGCATGTGCATTATGAATCTTAAGTATAAATGCACTGGTGAGCAGGTGGGTCAGAAACAAGTGCAGGAAGAGCTGCTAGTATATGGCTAATCTAGATGAACTCTCTAAAACACAAAAGCCTACTTCATGATATTGCCCTTCTATCTTGGACTTCTGTGAATCTCATGTTTATGTGTCTTTAACTTTTTGCAAGTCTTGCTCTGATTCTCAACACTCTTTCCTTTTCTCTCCCTTTATGTTTTCACTGGGCTTTCTCTTTTTTTCTTTGTGTTCAATCCCTGATTACCACCCTTCTCCTTTGTGGTGGACAACTTCATTTATCCTGACACAAATAGTCAAAATAGTCAAACCAGTTAAAATTATTATGCAGACTAATTTTTTTTCTAAAAGAACAAATGGAAATTGTATGTTTTTTAGGAAAAGACATGCTGGGCACAGTGGCTCATGCCTGTAATCCCAGCACTTTGGGAGGCCAAGCTGGGAGGATCACTTGAGGCCAGGAGTTTGAGACCAGCCTGGGCAACATAGAGAGATCCCATCTCTATGAAAAAAATAAAAGGCAGAAAAAACATAAATTATAGAACTCTTGATTATTTTGTTTTCTTTTGGCTAATATTCTACCTATAAAAATATTTCCTACTCCTGATGTTAAAATGAACTTCACTGTTTACCAAGAATTTAGCCAATTACATTTTGAAATTACAGCAACATATCTATGATACCACAAAGAAAATCAGTAATGCTTCTGTTTGGCATATTATTTAACAAATATTTACTAAGCTTCTACTCATCACTGAAACCTCCAATTGTGAGGCCACCAGCTTAGGTTAAGAAGAAACAGATCTTGTTTCCCTGTTACTATACTCCTGGAGATCTGAATGATGAACCCAGATGTAATGCCATTTTGAATCATGTGTAGAATGACTTATTCCAGTGAGATTCCATTTCCATGCAAGTTCCTTAAGACACAGATTGAATAGGAAATCTTGAGGAAGATGTTTCTTTTCCTTTTTGCTTTATGAATTTAAAGCAAAATTGCCCCAAATAAAACTTGACCACCCAAATAATAAGCATAAACAGAAATTTTGGAAACAAAAGTTTTAGAAATGTAATCTGGCTTCTATTAGTGACCTGCTAAATATAGCTGATGATACTTCAATCAAATGCCCAAGGATTAGATTATTGAGGGGATAAGGATAGAGGCACAAATATCTGCAAGAAAATGATTAAGGGTGAATACAAAACAGGCAAAAAGAAATATTTTGTTTAATGGATGAAAGAGAAGAAAATATTTTAAAATGGAAGAAAGTATTTAAGCCAGATGAGCACTTACAAAGATTCCTACTTCTGTCTGAGTTCTAAGACAGAACTCAGTTCCATTTTACTCAGTTCCCATAATCAGCATGCTTGAGGGCAAATTTAAGTGTAAAGCCAAAGACTACTTGTCTTAAGCTATTTGCAGATCATAAAGGTCACCAATAGCAGATATTCAAGTCTATCAGTAACACAATTCTACTCCTGGAAGACTAGAATTGTTCTGTGCTTATTTTGAAAAATCTTATTTACTTACCATAGTTATCTGGAGCCTCTCCTTCTTCTAAATGTATATGTTTAGATTTAAGTTTCTTTTTCAAAAACAAGGATATCTAACACCATGAAATGACAGTGATAATTACTTTTCTCTATGTAAGTATTGGAGAGAGTGGGCTCATACCTTGGTTCAGAATGTTCAGACCAAAACAGAGGCTTGTCAATTGTGGTTGGAGTATTATCTGTCCAAATTTTGAGGGCCTATTTTCTCATAAAAGGTTGACTTCAAAAAGACAGGATATTAGATTAAAAATTTTATCTGCTTAGTTTTTAATACCACAGGGAGAAGGAGTTGGAAAATATTTTTAGTTTATGAATGTGGAGCAAAATTTTCATGATATTCTTTTTTAAGATAAAGCGATAAATACTGAAAGGTAATACAGTTTGTGCTTATACTTACAGCACTATAGAATTCTTTAATTTGCAATTCCAGGTAAAATAAAATATTTGATGAACCTAAGCCATAGGCAAAACAGATAAGAAAATACTGTTTCCAGATAATTTGAGCATTCCTCTAAATTCCCAAACCACAATTCCATCCTGTATGTATAAATCACAAGATATGGAATATTTCCTGATGACAGTAGTATTTCATCTTAATGTACATACTGTTATATTATCACCTTAGAGTGCATTTGTGACTTAATTACTTATTCATGAGTCTATCACACATGCTGACTTTTAAAAATCTGCACTAAAAACTACTATCTGAAATTAAGGCAGATCTAAAGTACCCTTTAAATGAAGTTTATATATTAGAAACAACTGAAGACATCTTTCACATTTAATAGTCACAGAAGTACTTAATATGTTATTTAAATTTACAACCAGTTTATTTTCAATGAAGTGTCTACAGATATTTCAGAAAAATGTACTAAGGAATTTTGACACATGATATTGTCATTGCAAATGTCACCATTCAGATTTTAAAATGGAAAATGGGAATAATTTTTATAGACATATTGTTCAGTAAGGGTTTAATAGGTGCCTATGGATGTATATATATACTATATCAAATGTTAGGAATAAATATACAAAGATGACAGCCTCGTCTCAAAAAGATTATGATATAGTTGTATTCCTCTTTCCCACTTCTATCTTAAAATTTTATAGTTAAGACTTATCTATTGGCCAGGTGTGGTGGCTCATGCCTGTAATCCTAGCACTTTGGGAGGCCGAGACAGGTGGATCACGAGGTCAGGAGTTCAAGACCAACCTGACCAACATGGTGAAACCCCATCTCTACTAAAAAAATAGCTGGGCATGGTGGCGCATGCCTGTAATCCCAGCTACTCAGGAGGCTGAGGCAGGTGAATTGCCTAAACCTGGGAGGCGGAGGTTGC